TCCTGCTCAAGACCGGGGCGCTCTTGCTAGCCTCCATGTTGCTGTTGTTCCCGGTCTTGGAATCAGCTAACAGTTATCAGCTATGCGTGGTACTTGTGTGTCATATCTACTAGATGTTCTGATTTTGGCAAGTGATTCTTTCCCCGCCCCCCCACCCCCTTTTGCTTTCAGAATATTATTAATTCTTACAAAATAAAACTGTTGTGCCGTAGGTAGTATGTGCTGCAACAGTACGTCTATTATATTACGATTTGGAAAGTCTTGAATTATCGTTTCATAGCCCCGTTCCTGAAGATCGTTGACATTGTGGAATTACTCCCCTTTTTTAAGCATTTTCCTTCTACTCTGATTACTGCATTTTGGTGAATGGTGTGCATATCAATGTTATGCTGTTTGCATAGTGCACAGTTATTCCATCACACTCTACATGATAGATGTATGGACTGTGAATAGGCGTAGCAGCGTGCACTAATGTGCCTGCTGCTGCTGCACCCTAGCATCCTGCACACTGTGGTAGCACTCAAGACCGTGAATGTCATTCTGCTATTAATAAACCAGTATGTACACACACGTGGAAATGACATCGTGCTGTTGATCCACCGTTGTCTTTGTCATATTCCAGTGGTATGCAGCTGCACTCAGTCTTTCACTTACTTCTCATTGTTATGTAGACCGCCCTTTCCCTAGTTATGCTTTTATCTCCTTTCAAGTCAATCATTATAATAATTATGTATGGCTACTTTTTTACACCGTTGATGCAGATCATGATTTTTAATTCAGTGACATTTCAGTCTCTTGAATACTCGTAGCGGTATGCTGTGCGCCCAGGAGTGCTGGATACCTTGGCAACAATCACTTACTGTGCTGTACTTGTGTGGTAACGTGTGCTAGCAGTCTATGCTGTGTATTCTGAAGTTGACTTGTCGCGGGCGAGAGAGAGAGAGAGAGAGAGAGAGAGAGAGAGGCGGGGCGTAACTACAGGTTGTATAATTGATTTATGTGTATGTTCTTGATCTATGTGTATATCATTGATCTATGTGTTGAGGATTGGGCCAGTAAAATGTTATAAGGCCACACATTTTTATTTCTATGATTCACCTCACCCGCGCGCATATGCATTGATTCAGGTCGAGTCCGGAAAAAAAAGAAAAGAGAAACCTGTGCTGCACTGTGGTTACCAGTCATTCACATGATTGTGCAACCTGGCCTGCTGTGCTAGCTCGACACATGATGCGAGGTCGCTAGCGCCGCGATGACTGTACGGTGTTTTTTTTTTGTTGCACACTGTAGTGTACCTGCTCGTGCACAGAAAGTCCTACCACGAGTACTAACAGCTAGCTACATGAAGTAATTAGTTGCTATACTAACTTTTTGAAACTCGGATATTGAGCCATAAATAAAAGTTTTGTGCCTAGTTATTGCACTTTCTGACTGTATATAGTATCATGTTACAGTGATGGAGAGTTACTCTTAACTCGTATCCATATGTCCTTTTCTCTTCCACATATACTAACTTTAGATGCTATTTTACACGGTGTATTGGTCGATTTTGGAGCATGATTAGGTCTACAGTAAACTTATTATTATTAGACGCGACATTCCAACAGTCAGCAATCGGCTATCAAGAGTCATCTGTCCGTTAGTGATAGTTGTCGTGAGTTGTACAGAGATGATGTGTTTTCTCAGTTTTGGTCCGTGGCAGATCTGTATTACATTTGTCTGTTTTGCAAGCGTTATATATCCGTAAGTTGTCCCCTGAACTATGTGTTCAGAAGGAAAATGTTTTGTCGCTGCAGTTGTTTAGCGCTAATCCTCGTGAAAGTGTCAGGAGTGCTTCTCGTCACGGATGTTTTCATTATGTTTTAGTCGTTTCTTCACCTTCACCCTGTGTTTCACCTGTTCTGCTGAATTTAATTTTTCCCACACGTATATCGTGAGGTTCTCGATCTTTGATTTTTGCTGTACCGGTAGCTATATAAATTGCGTTATTTTGACATTTTTCCATTATTCCCTGTACTTACCCACGATGAGAAGGGAGCGAAAACGTTCGGTTACCAAAATCAATAATTAATTGGCTTACTTGAGTGTGTGGATTGTGTCGGTGCTGTCACCTTTTCTTATTATTACTAGTCAACTTTTTTATTTTTTGGTCATTTGTTTTCACCTCTAGATCTCGCATACGATTAATTTTTAGATTATCGATCGGGTGACGAGAAACATAGAAATAAAAATGTGTGGCATAAGGCCACCCTTTGTTAATTCATTGTTTAACGTCCTTTTTTTCGCGAAAAGGTACGCGGGAGGGCGGAAAAAAAACAAAAGCCCATTCCAAAAACTGGAAACCCCAATCAAACATTTTGACCAGTAAAGCATGTGATATATACAAATATTTCTGGGTCTAACGGCACTTGCAGGCATAGAACAACACTCTTTGATGGTACATTGGAGCACATGCCTGATGAATCCAACAAAACAGGTACATAGCATGGAGTTAGCATGTCATGAATTCATTCATCTGGATTTTTACTAGGACACACACCGTACGATATTTAAAAGCCAACAAAAAAAGAAAAAGAACACAAGACAAAGGCATGCCCGGGAGGCAAGATTATAAGTCTAAGGTCATGATCGGCACACTGTGAAACTACACAATCATGTATTTAGAACTTCGCATATTATTGGTACTACTACTTTCTTGTTTTTTTTTCCGGTTGGAGGCAAAAAGGTACGCGGGCGCGGACGTTAAACAACGAAAAAAGAAAGGGTGGCCTAATGAGGCGCTAATGATTTCCATTTTCCAAGCCATATCATGTCAGTGTGGGATTTGTCCTAGCGCCTCTGGCGTTGGCAGTGGCAGCACTGTATATAGTGCATGCAGTGTTACATCAGTAGACTACGCAGTTTTTTTTTAGTATCCCCAGGAATGCCTCGTTCTGCTCTTTTCTCTCCGAAACTTTGAAATTCTCCGTGAAGTCCAAATTTGAAAGCTCAGGAATGATGCTCACTATAGCGCTGTATGGTGCAGAAACAACGGTTTGTTGTTGCTGTGTTGCATGTTCTGGAACAGGTTCTCTTCAACGCCACGAGTCGAAGTTGTCGCCTTTGGCATTTGCTTTTTACCTACTAGTATGTACCAGCCTACAAGTACTTGCAAGCAGTAGTAGCGAAGGCTATGTAGACCGAGTCAGCGGTCAGCGGTTGGTGTTCGCTATTCAGGACTTGGCTGCGGAAAAAGATTTGGTTGGAAGGAGCTACTGGTAGCTAAAATTTACATGCAAGCGAAGCGTCAGCATGTCGTGAACAAAGGTACGATAGTCGCTAGACCGGCTATGTAAAGTTAGTAGTTATGTTACCTGTACTACAAGTATAGCAGCGAAGTCAAGACGCTTGCAACGAGCTTGAAACGGCAACGTCGTTACACGTAGCAGGTCAACACAGTATGTCTTTGGAAGACGGAGTTCAACTTCGGTCAAGAAGTCCAGCAGCCACCAAGCGAACTGGCATGGCTAGCAGTGGCCTCTGACATAACGTCGAAAGTAACATTAGTTCGGTCTTCGGACCTGTCCATCGTGTCACATCATTAAGTGGCTATCCGTACACCAGGTACACCCACCGACCTGCAGTGCAGACTGGATATGAGTGCGTTTGCATACCATGCCTTCGTTATTATTATTATTTTTTTGTAAACTGTCACCAATATCGAGACGGACACAAAGCTGGCGAGCGACAGAATATGGACAAGTGCAAGACGCACTATTCTCACGCTATCTATTAGCCGACTGCGGCGTGCAGACCCTCGTCCGGAATCATTCCTGTTCGTTCAGGAGTCACTCAGTGGCACGGCAGAGAAAGCCACGAGCGATGCGGATGGCGTAGCAAGTAAGTAGGTCGGTGTTAGTGAAATGAAAAAATTAATATTATATTTTTACATCAGTGCACTCTGGCATCTATGTGCTTGTACATTGTTGTCTGGGTACACGATGTAGCTGACTTTGCCGCTGCTATGGTGTTGAATACGATCCGATATCCGCAATAAGAGTATGTCTCTTGACT